TGAGTTTCCTTCAATCACTTGCCGGTTCACTGCGAAACATCTGTTAATGTGCTGTGAGTGGTCAAGATGTTTTCTACCATGAATTGAAATTGATAAACAATTATAGATACTTTATATAAAAAACAGACATACCATCATGAAATTCACTATATTGTGTGTTAGAAAAGTAAAATAAAAATTCTACAAACCCACGTACCCTCTAAGCCTAATATACATTTGGCAAACATTTTCTCAGTCAGAAATCCAAGATTATTGGTAAAATTTGCCAACATGAAAAACAATCTTCTTTCATTTTGTATTTAAGTACACCTAATTCAAGTTGTTTGTTTTTTAGATGAGATGACTACATTTCTCATTGCCAATTTTGCATAGGTGAACACTGCCCAGGAGCAGTATCTTAGCCTGTTGCTGTTGGAAACATGAATATTTGTTGTTACTTGTTGAGTTATTTTTGCAATGTGTGCACACAGCGTTCATACAGTGTCCATGTGACATATACACACAGCAGATACACCTGGCACAACAAATGCGTTTCCTTCCACTTAATAAATATTTATAAATATCACAATTCAAACTGAATCAAAAAGTTTCAATTGGGCGATGGAGCACTGTCTAATGGTGTAAATGCGCATTGCGCTGATTGATTTGGCTGATTGATTTGGCTGATTGATTCAACCACCGCTGAAATTTATAAATATTTATGAAAAAATGAAGGGAACACCTTTCTTGAAAATAATCTGCTTTTCAAGAAATTCAAACGCGCGCTCTACGGACACAGTGGTGCTTTTTGAAAAAAATAACATAGTCGAGCATTTTTTCTTCAACTTACTCTACGCGGAGAGACAATATCGTTTCCCTGGAAACAGCGATTCTAGTTAATCACAATAGCGTTACACGAGTATTTTGTGAATGACCAAATGTTGAACTTTTGAGTAACTCTGATTTGAAATCTAGAATGGTAACAATTACATTACAGGATGGAGTGATATAGAAGAAACCCACATGACGCAGCTCACCGACATCGCATTTTTTCATTTACGCCCACTTCCGTGAACAACACTTCTGGGTTTGGGGCAACGACTGTGAACTATGTGAACAAGAACGTCAGTACCAACTTACCTGCTTTCGTTGTTCCCTTTTTATCAGCACTATAGACGATCAATAACTTAAGGCCGCGCCACCCACTGTCTGGTGGATATAAAACACCGTGATCCAGTCGGATGTCTCTATACACTGAACCATCACGTTGCTGTACGCTGTATCGCAAACCACATGCACCGGGAAACTGACCAGATACCGTGCTGAGAAGAATCGTACCATCCCTTTCCTTTGGCAGTATACGCACCAGGGAATTGTGGGATACATATCAGACTTCCATCATGAGGATTCAAAGTTGTGTCACGAGATGGTAGAAATGTGTCAAGAGATAATAGGTTTGTGTTGGTAGTTTAATTAGTTGTGTCATGAGATGTTAATAGTTTGTCACGTTGTTATAAAGTTACGTCACGGGGATTCAAAGTTGTGTCACGAGATGGTCGAAATGTGTCAAGAGATAATAGGTTTGTGTTGGTAGTTTAATTAGTTGTGTCATGAGATGTTAATAGTTTGTCACGTTGTTATAAAGTTACGTCATGAGGATTTAAAGTTGTGTCACGAGATAATGGGCTTGCGTTAAGAGATGTTAAAGTTGTGTGAGAGATATTAATGACTTGTCGTGAGATTATAGAGTTATGTCGTTGTTGATTCTAGTTTTGTCATGAGGTAATAAAAACCTGGCACAAGACGATAACTATGCCATTGTACACACGGGCCACCGTATTCTAGTTTTGTCATGAGGTAATAAAAAACTGACACAAGACAATAGCTGTGCCATGGTACATATGGGCCACCGTACTTTAACGAGCAGCCATTGTTCCCCTGTCTTCACTACGCTGACGTCATCCGTTCCATGAAGTGTCAAATGAATTCACTCAGGAGCAAAATAAGTTTTATTGCCCCGTTACGGCTATTCATGTTAGTATAGTGTATGTAAAAAGCACATCCATACAACTCACTGCATGTCATGTCCGTCTGACAATCTATAAAATGTTCTAATTGCGAAATAAAATTATAACTCTATGGCGTCAAATTTACTAGGCGACACTGTCAAATAGCACAGCGTCGATTGAGAACGTCCCGAAGCGTTTACGAATTATTGTTTGGTTAATAATGGGCTATAGGCTCACAGAGCTTCACAACCATGCCGAATTTGAAAAGGTGGGTGGGCTAAATCGGGGGTATACATATCGGTGACATTAACCCACGCACAAACATTCGCCGCGCACAAAAATTAGCTTCATCTATGTCCAGGGGCGGTCTATTACAAATTGTAAAAAACAAAACAAAAAACATGGTTTTGCACCCCAAAACTGTAAATATAGTCATAACTCAGAGCATAACTATATAATAGGTTAAACTAGTGGTAATCAGTGTCGATGAACGGCTATATTTTATATTGATAAGCTTAGGCTCGGGCGTGAATATGCGCTCACAAATTACAATAATTCTGCTAGTTTTACGGATATCTAATGTGTTGCCCTACTACAACAGATTCTTTAAACTTATGTAATAATTTCCCATTGTTCGAAGCCATGAATAAATAGAATAATGAATAAATTTGATAAGTTTTTTTATATATATTTTATTTCATTTTTACGTAACCCACATATAAATACATAAAATCCCATCAAAAGAGTATAATTTCTACACATTCTACACAAAAACCATAATGACGAGATAATTATAAGAATACGAATATAAAGTAAATAGAAAAACGAAAAAGAAAAGGGGGTATGTCAACGTCACAGCATATTAAATTTTTCAGCGTTCTTCGCTAAATTGCCTCCCCCTATCGCTATCTCGTTTTCAATATTATAAACTTGCCTGATGAGATATAGACATCCGTGGAAAGAAGGTTTTATATGTATATATGGTGTTTAGCTAGAAGAATAATATGATTATTTTGTTATATTTGAAAAATCCTTGTTCCAAGAATAATATCTTGGTTGGACATATTACTAAGGGCGGGCAGATGATCGAAACGCACCGAAATAGTTTGCAGAAAGTCTTCACAATTATACACTCACAACATTCTGTCAGAAAAAAATCTGATATTTAATTTATACCAAATTTATGCAGTATTCTATAGAAAATAGACTTTCCTCTAACCTTATTATTCCACAAGTACATATCAATATCTAAATCAGTTTGGTTATTTAATTCTGACTATGCACTGAAACAATCTATGTAAAATGGTGGCAAATTAACATCGAATAATTCAGAGCTGAAATTACATTTAAAAACAATATCCCCACCTACATTTTTAATTCTCGTTGTAAAAAGATCCTTCCAAACGTGGCTGACACTTTTATCTAGATAACGTATGATCCAGTTTATCTTTTGTGTTTTATAAATTATACCAATGTCTGGTGCCCCAAGACCCCCCATTGTCAATGCCCGATATCATGGTTTTATGAGAAACTTAAAATTGGAACCATTATCAAATTAAAAATATCCTGTAATTTAAAAATACCAATTGCTTTCATAATCTGAACTTTGCCAATAAAAGTAAGGTTGCGTAGTTGCCAAATATTAAACATATTAAGGAGATCAGATTTTGGTTTTAAGAGATAAAACTCCAACGTTTCCTGTTTATTGTATGAAAAATAAATACTAACTAACTTAATTGGAGACGTAGGCCACTTAACATTGTACAATTTATCTCTACGCTTCCGCCACCTACCCAACCATAGGGCCTCAGTTTCTGAATATATAGCTTAGCAAAATTCTAGAGTTTATCATTCGTGTCTGCCGACGTCAACCCGAGAGAAAATATCGTGGGATTATATATAAATATACAATACAAATCGGCCTTGAATGAATGCGTAATTTCTGATATTGATTCAAGGTAGGAAGTAAAAAAAAACCTTCGAAGGCACAGAAGTGTTTTCAATCAATAGTAAAGGAGAAAACATATGTTGATCTGTTAACACAAGTCGCATAGGGAAATTCACAAGTCCGGGAACACAAAACGAATGACACCAAGAACATAACAACTGACAAGTACACTATACAAACGAAACAGTCAAATCAATAAGAGAATAATTTGTGGTATACATGAAGTGGTATATTGAAAAGAGTGAGGATGGTTTCCACTGCATTAAATCTGCTCTACATTTAATCCTGGCCCTGCAGTAATTATACCAGTAACAAATACATCTTTGCTTAAATTGGTATATTTGCGATCCTCTAAGCCTCTATGAAAATGTGCGGGTTATTCACAGCTTCAAATCCATTCGAATGGACAACTGCTATGCTACAGCAACACATATTCATTTTATAAACATATACATTGTGGTGACACATTTTGTGAGAGCAAATACAATCAAGATACGTTTAAGTATTAGCTATATAAGTATGGTAATTTTATTCATCTATCTACCTATCAATCGAACAATGGCGATTCAATAATTAAAACACACAACATTACATTATGAATATATTTTGAGAACATATTATAAGTAGATATTACACATCATATGTACGTATAACATGTCTTTATATTATGAGGTTATTGCGAGGATACTGCAAAGTATGCTCGAAGACAGTACAGCGGAGGTCGATGCGACCGCGTACTGTCTGATGCCGAAATCTAAAAACATTTAGAACATATTTAGCGAACTTCTTTGTGTGGGGTCCGGTCAAACCTTGGGACAGCCATGTTTTTTTTATTATTAGAGGACGCTTACGCGCGTAATCGTTAAATATTTGGAATTTGCGTTTCTTAATATGGTAGGATGAAAAAACCAGTACAATACCACAACATAACGGCACGCTGTAATTTATGGCGTCACGGTGACAAATGTATAATATTAGTATGTACGTGACATATTTCCTGAATACTGATGACTTATGTATTGTATTGTAGCATTGGATGTTCAGTAAAACATGATGATATACCATAATAATAGATGCACAAACAATTGATATCATAGACGACGCTACTATTGTTATATAAGTTATATAAGTACAAACAAACCTGTGTGATTTAGTTCTATCTATCGGTGACTTGTCCATGTACCATGTACCATTCAAGGTAACACTCGAGCAGTTGGTATGTTGTGGCATATATACCTGTATAAAAACAAAAAAATGCATTGTGGGAACAGAATGTCACAAATTCTAAGTGTAGGTGTTTTTTTCCCGACTGGGATATTTTTACATACATTTGAAGAATCACGTGTTTGGCCCATGTTCTACGTGAAGTACGTTATGCTGCAGTGATACAACATGAGTAGTATGTCCATTGTAATATGATATATATAATATGTAATAAACTATATATTGTAAAAAACGAACAAATACTAATGCTGTTTGTTAATTCAAAATTTTGCTAAATCCAGAAAATTAAAAGGCCAGACACAGTAATTGGAATCCTAAACGTATATATCTTTGAAATGCGGATTTGTTTTTATGAAATGCAAACATTGCCAACTTATGTATGTTGGTTACAGAACATACACTGGTTTAATGCATAAATATATTTCTAGAAATTGTTCATAAAGACACGTATATCTATTCAAAAAAATGGTTCTCAACATGTATGCAAGAAGGATTGCATTACTTAGTAATACGAAGTATGGCTCAAATTGGTTGCAAAAAATAACTGACACCACGAAACATCTGCTCTGGGTTTCTAAAAATACCACAGAGATGTATTTCTAACAGGTTGGTTTCAGACCTGGTATGTAATGTTGACTATACTCGTTTTGTAGACCCTTTCGGCACCTTCACTAATACAGAATAACTGTGAGC